GCATTTAAGCTGCCAGTGCCAAAATCTGGCCCAAAGCATGAATGGCTCTGGTAATCAGCATTTCCATTTTAGACATATTGCCCTCTTGCTTACTGTAGCAGCAGATACTAAAGTTTGAATTTCTGCAGGTTAAACTACTTTGAGATAACTGCAAAGGGGAAGGATTGGGTGGAGAGATACTGATACACTGTTCTTGCTTGTGAGTATACCTGAAGAGAGAATTATCCAAACATTTTTTGTTATCTGTGACATGAACTTGCATTACATATCTGTCTCTGAGGCAGATGACAGGCCTGTATTAAAAAAACCCTAAAAACAAACCCAGATCTTAAAAATCTCTGATTGTAGCATCCATCCAAGGTATTGTTTGTTGAGTGATTGTTAGCTGTACAGGAGTGTGTTGGCCTGTTCTTTTTTCCTAGTTTGGGTTTTGCAGCCTGTGGTGTGGTGTTAAGCCGTGGCAGAAGGGAACTGTGGCAGCGTGGGAAGCGAGCAGGGTGTTGGCAGGAGCTGCATTCCCCATCCATTCAGAATCAGATGGCCCAAACCCACCCCAGGTTTATTCATCTTTCTACAGGCTTCTTCATATTTCTACAGGTTTCTATCCAAGTCCTTCCTTCTTACTGTCATCTGAGTTATTGTGGTTACAGAATGGAGGCTTATATGACAAATAGCAATGAAATTAAGTTATGCACAAGTGGGTGCTGTTAATTTCACTTCCAGTCATTGAAAGGCTTTGAAGAAATTAAAAGGCTTGGGGTTTGTTTGGGATTTTTTTTCCTCAGGAAGTATAAGTGAAAAGTGCACCTTTTAAACAGATGGATGCGTGAATGATGAAGAGGTAATCTGATCTATAAATATAAATGGAATTTTGTCTGCTGGCTTTAGGCCAAAAAGCAATAGGTTTAAAAATAATTTTAAATTAAAACCCCCTACTTTAACTTGAAAATAGTTTTTCCCTCTGAACAGAGTATTTCACAGTGAATGGCCAGAGAGGCTCTTGATGAGAATTGCTGTTCAGCTGAGGAGCTCTGTCAGGCATGCAGATCTCAGAGTCACAGCATGCGACTCTACCCTTGCCAAAGTTCTGCAGCCAAATTATTCCCAGTATGACACCTAAAAATCTTAATCTGTGTTGATGTGTATTTCCTCTTACAGGGCTCTTTTGCAACTATGAGTTCAGCTGTGCTGGGTCCACCTAGCCCTATATCCTGTCTGTGACTGTAGCCAGTAGCAGTTGCCTGAAAAGGAGTGTTGGAACAAGCCAGATGAGATGCTTGGCCAAAATACTGTCCCTGATTCCCACAACTGCAGTCCAGAATGCTCTTAAATCAGCAGTGATGCCTTCTTTGCACAGTGTCAGGCAAGGATCACAGAGTGTGTTGCAGAGCTGGCTCGTGCCAGGGCTGGGTCTGCCAGCTTTGGCTCCTTGTGTGGAGGAGCCAGGATCTCCAGCCCCAGCTGTCTCCATGGAGAAGCTGTGCTGGTCTCCAGGTTCAGAGGGACAGTCTGCTTAGGTGAACATGTGGCTCCTTTGTCACCAGCAGTTCCTGGGCAGCAGTCCTAAACCACAGCTGCTCAGAGCAGGCCTGGGAAGGGAATTTGCTTTCCTGAGCTCAAGCTGTATTATGGTTTGGGCATAGCTGAAGAATAAAAGGTTCTTAGGCTAAATAATTGTTGTAATAAAGCTAAATAAGTTAACACCTTCCGTAGTCAAAAACTATTCAGCTAAAGCAGATGAAATACAGAGAGGAAAAGCCTCCTCAAATAAAGCCAAGGGCAGCAGATGTTATGAGGATCTGTTTTACTGTCACAGGAGTGCTGATCCCAACTCCCTGTTGCATTTCTAGGTAGTTGCTTTTCTTCCTGGGAAGGCTGTGAGGGTCATATGAACTGTGCTTCCCGCTAACAGCCCCACTGTTGTAAACTTAAGAGAGCTTTTCAATTTGCCAGACTTCTGGTGAAAGCCTCTGATCTGCGTTACACAATCGAGCCTCAGTTCGCGCCTGTCGCCGGTAGCTGGTGACATGTGGGCAGCTCCAGTGTGCCTCTGAAAGGTTCTGTTCAGTGTGTGCCTCTGCTCGGCCCCATCAGGCCCTTGTACTTTTCAAAATGTTAAGTACTCAGCTTTGCTCCAGTACATTATCTCACAAATCTTCTATTGTTTGGTCCTTTTCTGAAGAGCACATTATGTGTGGTGGCACGAAACTGTGGCCAAGCCGTGTCTGCAGTGCATGCAAAGGTGCTCTGGGCTGGAGCTGCTGCCACCCACCATTGGGTGGTTTGGGACTGCCCTGGGTCGGGGGTGCTTTGAACTTGTTCTTGGTCTAAACTTGTCAATGAAAGCATAAAGTACTGTGGCTTTTTTCAATGGGGACAAGCAGTGACAGGTACATAATGTTCCTATTCTTGGAGTTGTCAGGTGGAATGGAGCTAATATGATGGTCCATAATCCTTTATCTGCTGTGATCTTGAGAGATAGCTGTGCTTACGCATCTGATTGCCACTGGAGAGGGTTGGAGGAAAGTAAAACAATCCCTGTTAAAGCTCAAATCCAGTCTAGCCAGGCTGCAGAGTTTTCATCAAAGGCAGGAAACAGAAGGATGGGCACAGCTGCAGGAGGAGCTGCAACTTCTCTGGAAAAACTACCCAGGCATGTGCTGCAAGCAGGGACACCAAGACAGCACTGCTGTTCTGCACAGGGCCTCAGCTCTGTGCCAGTGGATGGATGGTCCCACAGCCCCTGCAGCTCAGGGAGATGCCATTTCGGGAAGGAACCTGCCTGGCATTTCTCCCAGCACTGTACACTTGCCTGTCTCCAGGATTTGCTCACTGTAGTCGAAGAAATGTGCATCAAAGACTTTTTTAGGTTTCTGATTCTTACATCTCTGGGTGTGCTGCAGGCTCTGTCCTAGGGAGCTCAGCCTTACCTTCTTTGCAGCAGCACCTCATTGCCCTGTGTCCCTGCTGAATTCTCCATTTTGGAGTGGACAGTTGTGTGATAAAGAGTTCTTGTACCTTGGTGGACTCACAGAGGCAACCAGACAAACCTCTGGGGTATGCTGGGGTGTTGTTTCTTGTGTGCTTTGTGAGACAGAGGAGAAGGTCCAGCACCGTGTCCCTGTTGTGTGCCCAGCCACTCACCCAGAGCCAGTCTGACAGTCAGTCATTGCTCCTGTGAAAAATGACTCAGTGCTTGTTCTTTATCTGGCACCTTCAGGCCTTGACTCCTCCTATTTACTTGGAAGGTGCAAATATTTAGATCTCTTCCAGAACAGATTTGTGTTACTGTTATTTAGAAGGTTTCTTTTCTTAAGCAATTTAGGTTTTTTCTTCTTTTGTGTAGTTTTTTACAAAATCAAAGATTTTTCCATGCAAGCAGCCTATGTAAGCACAACTGTGTAGTGGGGAGACCTTTTCTCAGCTTGCTTTCCCTTTTCTAAAGACAAAAGAGACTTATTGAATTGTGCTTCCTTTCTGACTGCTAATGGCTTTTCCTTCCTTCCTCCTTGAAATGAGCTTAACATTCTCCCATCCTGTTGGGTATAAATTTCAGCCTGGACTGTTTTCCCTGTTGAGGTGTTGAGTCACTGGCCTTGAATGGGAACCTGTGATGAGGTAGGGAGAAGAGAGGGCTTGAGAAGAAAGAGTTTTTTCCAGGAGTTTGGTGGTAGATGGGATGAATTTTTTTAAAAAACAAGGGTAAGGTGCTATTCATTTTAGCTTGGGGCTGCTCATATACTCTTTTCCTCGTTTTATTTCTGGATACTTTCTTGTGATGGATCTGGATAAATTCCAGGACATAATACACAAAATACATAAAGGAAGAGCTGGTTCCTGCTCAATAACAATGTTCCATTTTAAGCTGTCTCAGGTTAAAGGGGAAAAAATATGATGCCATATCACTCGAATCCATTTATCTCCTGGAGGAATGATGCTGAAATCTTGCTTCAAAGGCTTTGTGTGGGAATTAGGCCTGGATATTCTCCAAGGCTTAATTAAGCTTATTCATAGAAACGCTAAACTTTATGAACTGGACAGCAGACCTCTAAATTTGGCTCTAGGTGCAGAGAGGGTATTGTTTCTGCACACTCTGATTAGCAGCACTGAGTACAGACATACACTTTGGAGTAATTAGTAAAATGGACAGGAATTAAAGCAGGCTTTGCTCTGAAAACAAACCACATGAGCTAAACAAGTCTCCTATCTGCATTTTTTTCTCTTAAGTAAGGTTTCATTTTGTGTGGTGTTGGGTTGAGTCATGTGGGATGTATCTTCTCCCTCTGTCTCCCCTCCAGAAATTCTTTCTGGTCTAAAGTCCACAGTGGCAGATTTGAGATAAAAATCTGCATCTCCTCCCATATCATCTTTCTCTGCAAGATGAAGAAAACAAGGCTGAGAAATGGCATTAAACCAGCAAGACTAAGGTTAGGTTAGTGCCTCACATACACTTTTGACAATCACAGAGAAATCTGAACCCAAATATCTTTTTTGCTGATATTATCTATGCTTTGGAGGTTTCTTTTGCCCTTTCTTCCTCCCCCAAGCAATATGGCTGAGAAATTAACTTCTAAAATCAGGACTCAAATTATTATTGTAATTATTGTAAGGTATCTGAGCTTATGTGAAAACAAGCTATTGTTCAGCTGGCTTAAGCAAAAAAGGATGGTTTTGTGTTTGGTAGAAAAGCAGTTGAGACTTCAAAACCAGTTGAAACCAATGTGTGCTGCTGCCTTCATGGATTTGTTTAGTTTGCAGTCCTCCCTCTGGAGAGCCAGCAGTGCAAGAGGGTCACAAAAGTGCTTTAGAGGGCTTTTTTTTGTTGGTGTTTGAGGGTTTTTTTAATTGTTAAGCTTTAGTTGCTGATCAGTTTATAAGAGATAAGATTCTTCAGTAATACTTCCTTTAGAAAGCTCGCATAAAGGTGAAACTGAAGGGTTTGCTTGGGTTTTTTAAAGAACTCTACTTTGAAGATATTTTTGATATTACTTGAATATTTTTGATATTAATTAGGATTTATGTATCAGGAGATTTTTTTATACAGCTTTTCTCACAGCATCTTAAATAAGTGTGCAAAAAAGCTGAACGACAGTATCATTTGAATGGAGCAAGTTGTATGCTTTGCTGTTGTCACAGTTTTGTCAGTGTTGGGGAAAATTGCAAAAAATGTCTTCTGTTCAAAATTTTATCCACCCAGAATTCCACTGCAGATCAGTTTTGAAACTTGCTGCTCAAAGGAATTTAAGAAAAAATATCCTATGTAAAATTTAAAAAAAAATTGGTAGTGTTAACAGATAGAAATGTTGATTGACTTTATTTTTTTAATGTAAGTCATAACATTTAGACATGTAAAAATATAAGTGCTTTTTAAATTGTAAAATAGCTCCATGAGACTGCTTAACTCTCTGTGCATGACATCTCCATGCTGCTTAAGTACTGTTTGCTTTGTTAGTGAGATGAAACAAGGGTTTGAGAATGGAAGACAGTCGGGGTCTGGAGAAGGAATTGTTATCAGTGAACTTTGTTTCTTGGAAAATGAGGCTCTTGGAGCTGGAAACTTTGGCTTTGGCATACTGGAGTCCATGTTTCACACAGATGTGCAGGTCCTGTTCTGATGCCCAGGAGTCACTGTGGGTTTCAGTGAGCTGTTTCAGCTTCCATCCTGCTTGAAATTGTGCACCTTCCTCCTGTCTGTGCTTGAATAATGAGGAGAGAACCACGGGCTGGAAAGCAGCTTAACTAATCCAGTTTTGGACAGCTTATGGCAATTGCCTACCCGAGTATGAAGTGTGAGTAAAGTGTCCTTACAGCACTCACAAGTCTTGTGGTTGGTGACCTGATATTGGGAGATTTTAATCTAACATAGAACAAATATCATCATCATCTTTCATATCTCTGAAAGCAGCACTGTGCTCTGTATCTCCTTTGTTTGATTCTTCCAGGCACTTTGAATGTGTATCTTATGCCCTGTGTCCTGCTTTTGAATTTGCAGTGCAGTATCATAACACTCCATCTTTCAGTGAAAGAGCCAGCTGTAGGATGAAGCCTAGAAAAAACCTCGGGGTTACACTCTGTCTGAACTGCTTTGGAGATCAACCCAGCTGAATTCTAATTTAGAGAAGAAAGCTTCCCATGACACATTTGCACTGTAAACATTTAGGGAGGTTTTTAAGAGTTGATCTTGAAGTGTCCTTTAGGCTGATTATTCTGTTTTTATGAAAATTTTGCTTGTGAGAGCCCTTGAATACACACTAGTGAGGAAAGAGGTGAATAGAAGTAGACCACGGAATTCTGAATCTATGCGTCATATATCAGGAGACTAAACTTTGTAATTAAATATTGAACAACTCTATCCAAGCCTCTTCACAGCTCAGATTTGAAGTTCAGTAGTGTGGTGCTAGCCCATCTAGAATCATATGTCCATCAAAAAATTCGAGGTCAAGAAGGCTCAGATCTACCAATCAGTTCCTTTTTGGTTGAGAATGCTTTTAGAAGGCTCTTATTTTTAGTGTCTGACATTGAGGGGGTGGAGGTCCTTACAAAAAAGCATCAGACCAAGCAACGAGGCTGCTTCCCTGAGGAAGGACACGATGGTGTTTGGCTGCCAGAGTCTTGGACAGCTGCTGGCTGAGCAGTATCTGAGTGCAGATCAATACAGGGGTATTCCCTTTCTGTATCTTTTTATTGAGCACGGTTCTATGGGCAGAAGTAATTTCAGCAAATCTAGGAGGATTTGGATTCTTTCTCTGCCCTTTGGCTTAAGGCTGTAGTTATCTGTAAACTGAACTACCATTGCAAAAATCCAAAATCACAATCCTCTGTAACAGGTCACCAGCCAGCCTGTAAGGAAGTGGCCATGTGTGAGAGGGACAGGTCTGTCACCTGGGCAGGCAGCAGGGAAGTCTCATCGACTGCTTGGTTAATGGCAGCATCCTGAGCTGTCAGGCTCATTAGGACACGCTGCTAATTTGGTCAGGCAAGGGCTGCCAGGCTGCATTGTGTGGGGTTAAGCAGCGTGAATAGAGCCCGTAAGCAAAGCTGCTGGAATCTGCTTTTGTGTTCCCTTTGGACGCCTGTCCTCTGCTTTTGGCTTCTTTTCCAGTTCAAAGTGGCCACGTGGAGTTTTGGCACAGTGAGTGCTGTCTGTAGATGAGTTATAGATTGCAGAAGTGATCTAACTTGTGCTGAGAGGAGTTATCCAGCTTCTCAGCTGATTTTGCATACATACACTTAGAGTGTCAATTCACTACTTGGTGGGACTTAATTAGAAATGGATTAAGCCTTTTTTCTTTAAAACCCAATTTGAACTGCTATAGGTATTTTCCTTATCATCCCTGCTCACATGTGCTAGGCATTGCCTATATAGCAATTAAAGTTTGCTTTTCTTTCTGCCATCAAAAGATAACCTTCCTCTCCTTCCCACAAGCCATGGAGTCCTGCAGGTGGGTTTGCAGGTCTGACAGTTGTGACTCCACACGCACTCCAGTCCCTGGGAGAGCTGGGAGGTTGTGGACTGAGCCTTTGGACACGGGAGATTGGTGGTGGGGAAAACCTGCCCTATGCAGCCTGGCTTGGGTGAGTGTGCTGGCTCTGTGTGTGCCTGGCTGGAGTGATTCCTGATGGGATTATTGTGAAAGGTTGAGCAAGGAGAAGAGTTTGTTTTCATCTCATAAAGGGAGCAACCAGATTGTCTCACTGCTGTCTTCCCCAGCATGCGTCAGAATATTGTTAATTTAGGAGTTGGAACCCAGTGGAGGATTTTCTGATTCTCTACCATGTGTTTGACTTTGTAACTCCAATTTCTCTCTCATCCTTTGGGGATGTTTTTCCCTGACATCTTCAGCCTTACCAGAACTTTTTTGTTTGTTTGTTTCTGCCAGAGAAAACACTGAAATTAATAGTTTTTGGTAACCATTTTGTACATCTTCATCTGGTTGATCTGATTATGTTAAGGCTGAGTCGAATACTCCATTAAGAGTTTCAAATGCTCCCAGAACTGAAGCAGGAAGAGGTTTCCCAGGAGACTGACTGTGTGTGCCTGCGTGGAGCAGACTTGGCCTGCACAATTCCCTGGCAGAGAGCAGCACAGCTCCAGCACTTCTGTCACCAGATACCTGGGGTGATCCTGAGCTGGGAATAGACACCTGCTGGGTCAGGCTTTTTTATCACACTGGGGGCTGTCCTGCCCTCCAGAAACAAGGGGAATTCATGCCTCTGCCTGTTCATGTACAGGGATATTGATGTAATGCAGTGCCCCATTTTGGGAAGCAGTGTTTTTCCAAGGGTGGAAAAATGCTTGCTCTGTGGGAGGGAATACTTCTTGCAAACAAGCACTGAATTTCTTCATTTTACTTTACTAGGGATTTCTGTTAGAAAATAAGGCTGGAGGGGGGAAGTTTGGAAAGATTCTGGGAAGCTTTGACTCAGAAAAGGGAGAATGATTCATATTATTACTGTTATTTATTAAGGAGAACAGACCATGAACCTGATTTTTTACTTATCTTTGGAAACTTAAAGCACTTAATGCAGTGACCCCAAAAGAGTTTGTGGGTTTAAACCAAGGTCTTTCAACATAAAAGCTAAATCCCAGATGTGGGAGCTGGCCCACAACATTTTAAGAAGATTTATTCCTATTACCTTCATACTTGATAAGTATTTTAAAATCCTCAGTTCATCCCTTCTCTATTTGTGAAACAGGGTGGTAAATAAGTCTTGAAACTTGACCCTTTCTGTGCTGTGGCAATGGTCAGTTTATCTCTGGTTATTGCTGGAGTCTCGATGTAAGAGATCATTCATTTGAGAGTCCATCTAGTTTTGGTGGGGAGAATTTGATTACTGAGAAAAGCAATTTTGTTTAGTAGCAACGGTTTTTCTCTTTTTAATTAGGAAATAAACATTTGCTTCTCCAAAAATAACTTTGTTGTAAATAATCAATACCTAAGATAATCAAAGATATATATTAGAAATAAGGTTTTAAGCTCCATCTTAAGATAATACTGAGAACTGTAATTCACATCTGTGTTTGTATTCTGCTACTATGAAAAAAAGATAAGTGCAACCTAAGCAATGTTTTAATTATGTTTGGCAATAAAATTTAAATAATGAAAAATCAAAACTTGACACAGTCTATATCCCACCTGTAAGTTCCTTCTTGTACTTCAGAAGGTAGTATAACTTAATTTTTTAGCTAATTCCTTAGGTCAGTTCTTTAAAGAATCAATCAGACAAGGTTCTGTCTGTTTTATGAAAATGGAAAGGCACTTGACTGTGGCCACACAGTTTTATCTTCTCCCCTTGTAATATCATACTGTACACACCTAATACTTTTGGGTAGGCTGTCAGTGGCTGAGTCAGAGAAGTTAGGAGAAAGTTTTAACTTAAAGATTTTAACTTTTAGAGTTGGAGACTGGAACAAATATCTCCATTATCCTCCTGAAAAATCCTGTTAGCAAAGCAGTCCCATCATATCGAAGTTACTGGCTTGAATGTTGCTTGTATTGTCTGTTAAAGCATAGCAACTTAATCTCAGCAGAGTTTGAGAAGGCAGGCAAAGACTCTGCTAGCAAGAAAAAATGGACAGAAAGGACAAGTTGTCACAGCAAGTATAGAAACTTTGTTTTACTTCACTGGGAAGGCAGAAGTCCTCACCTTCCACAACTGTGAATCAAACACTTCTGAGCAACTCAACACCCACCCCAGAAAGATTTCCTTATAGGCTCCAGAAAACTGACTTATGTCAGTTGGAATAAACACACTGTGCAAAGTTAAGAGGTCTCCAAGGCTTTGGATAATGAACAGAAATCTTAATTATATTCAACCCCAGATAAGAATTTATCAGTAATTACAGACATTTAGTTGACATGTAAGCCGTCCTGTGAGGTCACCAAAACACATTTCTTGGATCATACCTATTAGTGGAGTTGAGTTTTCTTTGCTTAAAGATCCAAAGTAATGTCAGCCATATGGCTGTAGAAGAGATGTGATGAGGCATTGAAAATCCATCAGTATTTTCTTCATAAAGCTGCAAAATAAACACATTGAACTCTCCTGTAGTCAATTTATGCCTGAAATCATCTTGTCCTGTGTCCTGTCAGAGAATCTGAGTAACTATTGTGGTAGAAATAAGATCTTCTGTCAGGATTGTAAATACCTTCCAAAACTGAACTCAAACAGTGAGCCATGCACTCAAGTACTGGAGTCTATGGGTGACATTACAGGGAGGGGCTGTATAAGAACAAACATATGTCAAACACATTGTAGAGGTTCCCTCCTACTGGCCTTGGACTTTGTAGCTCACTGAGGTTGCCAGAATTAAACACGATACACATTTTGTGGCTTTTGTGTAGTATTTCTTAATGTAGTGCCTGATGTACAAATCCAATACTTCAGCAAAATACAGGCATCTATAGCTACACTACCAAGTGACCTGTCTCCTGTCCTTGATTTGACCTTTGGAGATCTTCTTGGCTATCCTCATCTCCATCCCCAAATTAGCAATTTCTGCATAAAGAAAATGAGCATCAAGATCATTCCCAGCAAGAAGTATCATCAGAAAAAGACCAAAAGCTCCATTTCATGGAAACAGTTTTGTGAGTCAACATGCTAAAATCCACAGTTCAGGCAGTGCATCCCAAAGATCATTATTAAGTAGTGTGGTTAAAAACTGTTTTCCTGGGAGCGATTTTGCTGCTTGGGCAAATCTCTCACAGGTGCAGCCTTTCAGGAAGTCCAGACCTATAAACAAGCAAGCAAAAACAATCCAAAGGACAGCAATGATCTGTTGCCTTACCAGCAGGGAAAATCCAAGAGAAGACTTGGAATTTCTGTGGAAGTAGAATCTGGGGCGGGGTGGGGGGGGTGAATCCATAGTCTATAATGGCATTTTTGGAAGTAGCCATTTATTGTGTACAAAATTGTCCAGTCAAAAGAGCTGATAAGTTTAAGGAACAAGCAGAAATAGCCAAAGAAAAGCTCAGGCAACCCAGCCTGGTTATTAAATGGAATGCAGCCCTATCTTTGTATAGTACAGATGGGCCTGAGAAGGGATTTGAGTCATCTGCTATGTAGCATGATTTACTTTGCCATAGCCAATTTCATCTGCAGCAGCCAACATTGATTGTTCAAGTGGGGTAACTTCAGCATTTGCAATCTGAGAATGCAGCCCCCTTTTTTTCTTTTTTTTTTCCTTTTTTTTTTTTTTTTTTAAATTGAAGATGATCAAAAGAACTCAAATTACAGGGACCTTCCTCACCTGAGAGGCAGAATTTGGTAAGTAGATACTTTTGAAAATTTTCTTAAGAACACCCCCAGCTTCAGCCTGATGATGCAACACTGATATGTTCCTCTTTTCTCCTAGGCATGAGAATTCAAGTACCAGCAAGAAGGTAAGCTGTGTAGTGAGTTATTTCAAATTTCACATCCATTCCAAAAAGATTCTTCCTAGAAATCCTTTGAATATGAAATTCAAATACTCTTTGAAGTCAGTTGTCTTCAAAAATTTTCGGGTCCTTTTTTTTTACCCAGTTCATGTAGAATGTGATAATTTATTCTTTTGTTTCTTTGGCTGGGGGGAATTCAATGTGTGTTTTTACTTCACCCCACTAGTTTGAGTGATTCATCTTGCCTTCCAAAGTGATTACATGTCCATCAATCCAACCATAAACCCCTTTCTGAAAATTCCTTGCTGCTTTTATATATACTGAATAAATCTCATCCAGACTACCTCAGATATATATTTCTGTGACACAGTAAAATGATTGCAGGGATTTTAGCTCTCCGTAGCTGCAACTGAGAGCTATTTCAGCACTGAGCAAATAAACCAAGCAACCTTCCCATTGCCCACCCTACTCAGTAAAACCACTGCCAATTGTGTATAGCCTGCATTTTATCTTTTTCTGCAGCATCCAGAAGAGTCTGTGGAAGCAGCTACCTGGAGCAGCCCTCTCACTGTTTTCCACCTGCAGCCTCATGAGCCTTGTCTCCAAAGAGCTGTGTTTGGCCTTTCTCCTGGCACTGAGGACTCTGCATGTTGTTAAACATTTTCCTGTCTGCTTTTGGCTCCACAATGGATTTCTCCTGAACCCTGAAAGCAGTGAATTCTTTTGAAAGAAAATGACCTGACTGAAGCAGAATACAATTTGAAGAGTCTCCCACATGTTAGTGCTATATCCTGGAAGCTTCCCTTCAGGATTAGTGGTTCCTCAGGTGCTTCAATGGCCAGGGCTGGCAGTGCTCTCACAGGCAGAGCAACTCTCAGGTGGCCTTCTTGGCTCTGGTTTTGCCTCAGGTTGTTTTCACTTCTCTTTGCTCCTCTTCTTCCTCTTTTACTCGTGGGTGTTGTTTTTCAAGAGCAAATTCTCATAAACTTACATCATGGTTGCTCTGGCTCCAACTCTTGCTCTTTGTATTTCAGTATTACATTTCACTTGTTATGGTTTATTTTTAATCAAATCATATCCCATTACTTTTTGGGTCCACAGAAGTGTGTTTGACATGTTTAAGTTGCCACTGTGAGGTTCTTCTCCAAACAGAATTCAAACCATTATGTTGCAATCTGTACCAGAGCCTTTCTAGCAGCTGTGTTTATATAGTTTCTAGTAAAATGGGTGCCTGATTAGGATTTTTGAATAGCTCATTCACTGAAAAAATGGTGTTTTGAACCAGCTAAAGCTATTTTAAAAATTGGGATAATACATGATTAAAAGTTTTGGTTTGAAGAAATCAGTGGCAGCACCCTGCCAAATTTTAGGCCCTAAACATCATCACCATTAGTATTGTAAAGATTTAAGTTACTGGATTTTAACTGGGCAAGAAATGGCTTTCTTTTGCTCCTTAAAAAAATTAACTGAAAATGTAGTTTGTCACAGATTGAAAATTTTATGTTCAGTCACCCAAAATTGTTGGAGTTTGGTAAATTAGATATAACTGAAGACAGATTCTTTTTTTTTTTTTAATTGTCAAGCAACGGTGATTTGAGGGCGATTTGATCTAGAATAGAAACTGAACATTAGGCAGTTCTGGGGTTGCTCCACAGTTATCAAGATGAGCTGTTTGGAAAACCAAACTCCATCCCCAGCTGAGTGACACTGGCACACGCCACAGACTCTGTGTGTTGGGCAGGTGGGTTTTCAGGAGCCTGTCTGCTCCTTCTGTGCCAGACAACCTCCTCTGGAGGATGGAGAAGTAGTAGCTGCTGGGGCAGCAGCAGTGCCTTCTGCAGGGAACTCTGCAGGCTCTTCCTTCCACTGGTGAGGCTGAGGGGAAAAGGTTCCTCATCTTTGCTGTTCCTCACAGCGGAGGTGGCAGCTGCATTCCCAGAATTCTGCAGGTTTGGTTACTTGTGTTTGTTTTGCAGACATTGGCACTGTACAAAAGCAGTAAGTGCACATTAAAGCAGGGAAACACAAGTGCTGCTTCTGCTCCATTAAACTGGAACTCAGGATTAAAGGGCCAAGAGCTACTTCGACTGACAAGCTCTGTATTTAAATGTTTTTTAAATCGTAAACTAAGAGCAAAGATTTATAAGTTTGTGTCATGATCCATAAATCCAGATCTTGTCCTTTGCCTCTAGACAAATGGCTTGTAGAGGAATTTGTAGTGGTTTGGATAAGTCTAGGTTTCAGCAGTCAGCTCTCTTAAGTCAGGCATATAGGAAACATCTGTGATTGTTTGAGGAATTTGGCAGACAATCGTGTACTTTAATCACATTTTCCCCTTTGAAAGTTGGAAATGTCCATGTATAAATTAGACACACAAGCCACATAACTCTGCACTTGTGAATTAGACAAGGTATCAACCTGCTGTCACCTTGCAAATCCTACTGCAAGGTAAGAGCAAGTTGATACCTTGCTATAGTGAAAGAGATCAGCTTAAAGTTCTTTAAAACAGTGTAGCTTTTCTGTGCCCCAAAATAAAATCTAAGAGCTTTAAGGGGAGTTGCTGCTAAATGGCAGGGTACTTTAGTGTTCAGAATTTGCCAGTTAGCCAAAAGACTAAGACTGAAATCAAAAGGTTCTTTGAGTAAAATTATACAAACCCTCCTTTCCAGGCAGAATTGCTGAGTTACGTGCGTAGTTGTCACATGCTGGGCCCCTGAGTACATTCACCATGCAGTTGTGCAGAGTCTGTCTAGAATCATCTCATCCTGTAATGAGATCATGTGAATTCAAAGCATATTAAACTTAATCCTAGTTTTCAGGATTATACCCTGTAAATTTAAAATTGCAGAGTATAAAAAAATGCATACTGTTTCTGACTGCTCATTATAAAAAATGAGGCCCAGCTCATTGTGAACCAGCTTTGGTTCTGCCACTGAAAGCAGAATTTGGTAAAGGGACTTCAGAGGGAGATTCAAGCTGATGTCTGGTGACCTTTGTCAAGCAGAACAAATGATTGCTATGTTTGCTAGAATTGTATTAGTGCTGGATGCTTCTGGTACAGCCTGAGCAAACGAAGTTTAAAAGTCTGGCTGTCTATCAGCAAACTTTGCCTTTTGATTGAGTCTACAAATGCTGCAGCATGGACCCTCCAGGCAAGGAACTGAGGCTCTGCTTTATTTGATGCCAGGTCCTTCAATAGTTCCAGCAAGTAATTTTTCTTGAAATAGAAAAGCATGATGAAAATAGACATAATCTTAAATAATGTGTTAAAATCAATTCCTGTGTGTCAGATTCCTGCATAGCACATGTCCTTTGGTACACATAGGAATTGCCTGAACAGCCCGAGGAAGAGGCTGTCACACATATCCAGGCTGCACCTCTGGGAATTCCAGCTCTGGAATGACAAAGCAGAGCTGTTGACTGTGTAAGCTTAACCCAGATCATATTGGACACAGAGCCAAAACTGGGCAAGAAAACGTCCCCCAGAAAGGAGAAGCCAACATTTACAACTATTCATTATCTTTTGTATGAATAACCTCTAAGAGCTAAAGGCTACATGATTCTGACTTGACCACTGAAGTGCTGTAAATTTACTGTGGAAGTGCCCTTGGTAGCTTTGAGCTTGAGGATGTAAAAGTTTTCTTAGCAGCATTCAGTGACCTGCCTTGTGTGATGCTGAGCCTTTCCATGTTCAGCTCCCTGCTTTGTTCTAAGAACAAGCTTAGTTGGTTGCCAGTAGTTCTTCTGAGGCAGAGATTTTTGCTGTGCCTGATTGAGCAGCATCACACTGGAGGGAATGAAGGTGGAAGGATTGTCTTGCCCAGAGCTATTGCTGGAACAGAATTGCTGGAGCCCACACTGGCTCCAGTATGTTACTGCTGTGGAAAACAGGCTTATTGTTTTCTTGCAGCACTTTCTGCCACTTCCTTTACCCTTCTTTCCTTTCTGTCTTCTGTACTTGGCCTCACTGCTCTCTCCTCTACATCTCTCCCTCTGTTTTCACTTACTGTTCCTTTACACCCTTAATCCAAGGCAGTCAGTTCTAACTGGGTTGGTTTTTTTTTTGCCTTGTTCCGTGGGAAACATCTATATCCTTTCTGTTCCCTTCCCAGAGGTTTTTTTTCCCCCAGCACTGGTGCATCTTAGCCAGTTGCAAGCTTCCCTCTCCTCCAGCCGAGCCAGAAGTTGATAACAACAGACTGGGTGCCTGACTGGACTGATCTGAGCATCCTCCCTTTGGATATTCTTGGTGGCTGCTGCCACGCTCCCCACAGCATGGCCCAGTTTCTCTCTCAGTGGTGGCAGTGGCAGGGGGGGTTGGCATAGAAAGTGCAAATCAACCTGGCATCTACCACAACTGTATTTTTTTACCCCTTGAAGAATATAGGTTTCTTCTTAAGGAAGACTAACCTGTTTGGAAGATATTCTTGACATCTGTGGGGTAATGCAATGTAGTATTTCTCTTGCCAGCCTATCTGAACCATTTCAGGAGGTTGTGGTGGGTTAGAGCTGGTTGGCAGCTGTCAGTCACAGGCTGTACGTTGTCAGTGTTTTTCTTAGGCAGGCTGAATTGCCTGATACAGCTCTCTGGAATGTAGCAGGAGGCAGTGCAGCATTTTCGTTTAATTGCTTGTGGAGATAGCTGCAGGATTGTGGTGTCAGAAAATATTGCTGAATCTCCGGGGATTTCTTGGCATTTTGTTGCCACAATAAAGTCATAGTTGTCACAGTAGCTTAGTACAGCCACCAATGTATGTACACTTACTTATGCAGCCTGAAAATGTAGTGCAATAATAAAATAATCTATTTACATTTCTGCGCCTTGCATTCATTTGAGTCTTCTAATGCCACTTTTGTCACTCACTGTATTGTCTAAATGCATATTTTTTATATATGAAATTTTTAAAGATGTTAAGAGTTGTCAGTAAAGTCACATATTGAAACCAGTCTTAAACATGATCCTACTTGTGGGTTTGTGTCTCTCTGCTGTTTTTATTACCTAAGCATTTCAGTTTTGGAAATCCATATTTATAAGGAATTTGTTCCACAGTAGAATTGCCATGGCATTGTTAATACCAGGATGACAAGTGGCCTGAAAATTAAGTGTTGAGCAAACACAAGCAGTTTCCACTTGAGGTTTTTTTGACTGTCCTGAAGCCCAGCCAGTCCATGTTGTGGAGCATTTGCAAACTAAGATTAATGCAGTGCAGAGCTGCTGCTGAGTTACAGGAAGGCAGTCAGTTGAGACCCAAAAATGAGGTTCTTGTGTCTCCAACTCTCCTCTAGCCAGTGAAAATTTTGCTTGCTTTGGGAAGGTAAAGGTATCTGTTTTTCTGTGTGTCATAGTTGAAACCTCTATGTTCGGAGTTACATTCACTACCTGCAAAATATTAGTCTGCGGGGTGGATTTTTCCAGTAGAAATTATCTTGGTTGCACAAGTATGAAAAATACTTGCTCTGTATGGTGTTTTTGAAGACCCTTTTCTCACACTGTATTTGTGTCTGTTCCTCTTGTCTCCAGTGAGATGTTTCACTTAAAGCTTTATGGTTAATTCAGAAGAGTATCCACCCTGTGAGCAACATGGAGAATGCCCCAGTGCTTCTTACCCATGTCTGTGGGACTAAACCATGAACATCCCTGCCAGGTTGCTCAGTCATTGTGGCCCAAGCAGAACTGCTTACATGGGTAAAAAATTCAATGTGATCTTGCAGTGCTGCTTAGCAAAGTCATGGGCACACAGGTCATGGTGGAGTGTTACTGGAGGAACTTTCCTCGTGTTTCTCTGTGCTTTTACTCCTTCCATTTGTTGTTGCCTTGGTGCCTCTCGCTTCTGGGTTTTTCTTTAGGAGGAGCTTTATGTCTCTGTTAGGATACATTTGTGAATTCACTGCTTTTTATCCCAGAACT